ATATTATATATATATATGCCTATATGCATACATATATTGGTAAGATAAACTTATTGATGGATAATGTGAATTGTTAGTTATGAAGGAACAAATCAAAGTGGGACGACCCCACAAAAGAGAGAAAAAAAAAGCTCTTGGTGAACATGCTTCTTCAAATGTTTTAAATTAGTAAGACACTTTAATCTAAAAAAATAAGCCTACCAACATTAAGGACTAAGATGGACACAACAACACAATGATGTTTGCACCTTAAATGAAGAAGTTTAGTACCGGTACATTATATTATACTCACATACAATATTCTACACAATTATATCAATATTACGCATTAGAACAGTGACATTTTTGCTAATTCATTAAAGAGTTCAAACTCCCAGCTTCATTATGCTGGATTGCATTATGGGCGTGGTCAGTGACTACCAAGCCGACATAAAGAGGCGCTTATAGTAGCTACATGTTCACATCATTCCACAACTTTATTATAGCTTTTAATTTGTTTTAAAGTTCTGGTTAGGCTACCGTATGTCGGAAATAACGTTACCACAAATTTTCAGCAATGTTAGCAACGTTATTAATTGGAAAATACTTTTTAAATACGTATTTATGTTCTACAAAAAACGTTTAAAGCACCAAACTGCAACGTAATTATAACATACAATTGTCAGCTGGGAAGCTACCGGGACGAATCAGCATGCCCGTGTTCCAGGTCAATCGACATTGTGAAATCTACGTTGTGTGTATGTTTGTTTATATCGACTGACCTTGATACGGCATGTGCAGTTCAAACTACAGTATTGGCTTACTGTAAAACTCTAAGAATTACTGGCGCTAGTTGACACGGGTTCATGTTGGCAAAATAGGTTCTTGTGACGACTTAAGACATGGCAGAGTTTTTCGCATACCCACTCTAAAATCATTATATTTGAAAGTGTATATTATAGGATTTATACAGATGTTACACAGTGACAATGCTACGGTAATGTAGTAAACTGCTCCATTGAAATCAAACTCTCCACCTAACGTAAAGTTGATAAAAAATATCTGATTTGGTGTCCAGCAGATAAAATACGTCACACTAACTATAACCATTGTCTTAATGATGTTCAGTCTTCTGGCCGCACTGTTCGCAGAAGTCACTGTTGAAGAAACATCGCCAACACGATTTCGGAGAGCGCGAAAAATGTTGAGGTAAACAAACATCATTACACCGAAGGGAATAATAAGAATGTAAAGACCATTTAGTAAACCAAACACCTTCTGATACTCAGCACTTGGCCAACTCTGGATACACTCTTTATCTTTAACAGTGTGTGCCGCTAACCAGAGGAGAACGAATCCATAACCACATATCCAGGGAATCAGCAAAAGCAATACTTTCATTTTCAACTTTTCCTTGAGCATATTGTATTTTAGTGGATGCATTACGGCGAAGTAGCGATCAAATGTAAGTACCACAAGATTAGTCGTTGAGGTATATATGCTTGACCAGAATATGTACTTGCTTGACCAAACTTTACAGACAAATTCTGCTGCAGCAGTTGAATCTGGGAGGCGAATCGTTATGTCGGAATCAAGAAATAGGCAAAGCGACATTAAAGATATCAAAAGGTCAATGATACACTGATTTGATATTAAAAGATTTGTTGCACTGAATCGATTCTGCAACTGAAATAGAATAAATATTGCGAAGCCGTTTGTTGAACACCCAACTATACCGACGATACTATAGAGAAGTATTGCAGTGTCCATCTTGCTAATGTAGACTTGGTTAAATCGTTCTTTAAGTAAAACTAAATTCACAGTACCAGAATTTAAATACAAATGAGAGTAATTGTGCTCCTTTTATAAGAAAATTAATTGAAGAGACATTCAAACAATATACCTAAACCATATGTACATCAATTTAGAAACAGATATACATGATGCAAACGTTTTGTAATGGTTTTAATTGTAATGGTTTTAACCATGGTGATTCTCCTAATAGGCCTAAGTAATGATCTTGATACAAAATGTTTTAATAATTGATAGCTTTTATACATTGAAGTACAACATCATTACGAAAGTACCTCCTTGCTATCTTTTATTCTTTCTTAACGGACGTGCCTTTCGTAATTAAACATCAGTCCGCATTTAAAATTTGTAATTATCGTTAATTGTTTGACAATAATGTTATGTATACGGTAGGTACTGACCTCTGCTGGGCCTGGAATATTAAGTTTAGATTTACGTTCATACATATTTGTAATGCATAATTAGTAAGACACAATTTTGAGTAAAGAAAGTAATAACAACTTAGGTGAACTAACTTTTTGAACCTCAAACTTCCGTTTACACATGTGACTCTCTGACTCACTTTATCTGTATATGTGAACAAATGCTTAAATAAACTTTGTTAGACTGAATAGTGCTGTTTAACTCTACTTCTGTATAATGTATATATATATATATATATATATATATATATATATATGTATTGAAAGTATTGAAAATGTAGAACTTGTAGAACTGGGTATTATCACTCTACAGACTGTTTCATGCTAATGCAATCTTCAGGAGTGAGAGAATACAAGGGTTGTGCGAGTATATGAATGCTAAGACA